GGCTCTGTCTTAATCCGACAGAGATGCTTATCCAGTGCATAGACATCGAGCCATGGCATGTTTGTCAGGTGCCAGGCAGCGGCATCACAGGAGAACTTGGCAAAGGAGTGGGGGGGGGGGGGGTCCCAAAGGTTGCGGGCCTACGGGTTTAGGGTTTATGTTGGGTTGAAGATGGTAGAAGGATCTTGCTCGGGCATCTACAGGCAACAATCAACGTGCGTAACTTCAGGCCAAAAGAGCCTTTTTTGAGCAAGTAGCGAAGTCCTCCAAAATTTGAGCCCATTCAAGGCGGGGAATCCCCACACCAAAAAGCAACCATAAAACCTCTACACCCAAACAAGAAGACACCCCCAAACCCTACATCCGACCACCCCCTCCCCCAAAAAAAGAGCTCAAAACCCCAAGCCCAATGATTCTGCAGCAAGACAAAGTCCTCGCATTCCTCCTGCTCGGCCGAGGCCTCTGCGATCCCCATACCTCAAGTGGTGTCCAGTGAAGCAAAGCTTCGGTTTTTTTCAGTGCAGTGGACTTTCGCTCTCGCTGCATCCGGCCCGGGCAGGCTTGCACATTAGCAAAAAACACGGCGGCTTTTTGCATGCCACACAGAAACCCTTTCATCCCAAAACCAAGGCTTAGGGTTTAAGTAAGGTTTAGAGTTGTAGGGTTGCGGGTTAATTAATCGCTTCAACAAACCCAGCAGATTAGCGTTCGGGGCAGCTTAAGGTGTCTTGGATTTCAACTGAAGTAAAGCATGTCTGGGGTGTCTGCCTAGTACTCAGCAGGCCTTTTTGGAGTTGTTTTTTTTTGTGCTGGCTTTACATAAGAGGGACAAGTTCATCCGGCCTGTTCTCAGGGACGTTTTCCGGGCTTGGGAGCTTCTCAACATGAACAAATTGGAACCAAGAACCCCCCTCTCCCCCCTTTTCCCACCCAAGCCCGACAGAGAGCCCCTTTGGTTGCCTGAGAGGCAAAGCGGAATGAAAGGAGCCCTGAGCATTATAAACTTCAGGGGATTCCCCCCCCCACACCGCCCAAGATGCCTTCGACGCCGATGCCCGAGACTCGGCGCGAGTGGGTTTCGAAAAGGCCTGGCGCCACCCGGCTCCATTCCTATACTTCCTCAAGTCTACCTTCCGTACCCCCTGCTGCCTGAACCCGTTAGCTTCGGATCTTTGTCTTGTCGAAGGATTCATGAGGTCAAAAGGGGTGAGGAGCTTGCGAATTTCTGCTGCTAGCTAGCATTGGCGTGTTAAATCGACTGGGCTCAGGGCTGTCTCGTCTCTCAGGGCTTCTAGCAAAAGAGGGAGCGGTGCTCTGCACTCACATCTCGGAGTTCAGAAGGGGGCTTCGGGGAAAGACACGTATTGAAACTGTCGAGACCAGATCCAACTGCCTTTGACACCACTGTAGATCGCGCCGGCCTCGGTGTAGAGACAAATCAGAAGGCACTCTACAGTCTTACCCATAGGCCCCTAAGTAGTTCCTTTTGGGATTACCTTATAGGATTCTAAATATGAACCACAAAAAGGAACTACTTAGGGGCCTATGGGTAGATATCAGAGGTTTCGAGCCAGGGCCCCCTCAAACGTCCTTTATGGGACCTTTTTCTACCCAAAAGAATGAGGCACCTATTATAGCCTTGCGAGAGTCTTATGGCTGGCCTTATTCTAGTATTTCCCTTCTGGGACCCGAAAAGCTAAACCCTGGACCTTCTTAGGTTTTTAGGGTTTTTTTCGTGAATATCCCATATATGCGACCTTACAAAATCTAAGGCGTCGGCACCAGTGAAAATGCCACCGACAGCCCCTCCAAGGACGTCACCGAACGTGACGTCCTGCATGGCGGATTGTTCCAAAGGCTGCTTCAAACTGGCTGGTTTTGGGTTTATAGGGTTTAGGGTTTAGGGTCTGACAAAATTCGACTACAGCCTTAGAACTTGAGCCGGTTTCTGCGGGGGCTTTCAGTTTATGGATACACCCTTATTTTTTACACAGGGAGCTTCGATGTATGGGGAGGCTCCTAAACGCAAAAGGAAGGTACCTTGCGGCTGGTTTGGGGATGGTGCGTTTAAGCAATACCGTGTTCAATACCGGCGCCCAACTAGACCAAAACCTTCAGTTTGCGAGGTGGTCCAACGAGACGGCCCGTTCCCCCTCCTACCCTAAAGCTGATCTTCGTGACACTGCGGTAGCTTTGGGTAGGAGACATCTAACTCATCTAACAGTGGGCGCTTCGAAGCGACCTCGATCGCTGTCGACGTCGTCGATGCCTCCCCAAACTACAACCCACTCCACAAGACACCAGCTCCGAAGGGCCTCAGGGGCCGGCGCCAAACCTAAAATTCGAACCTTATACTCCTAGTCTGGAAAGAATCCGGCACCGGTTAAACATGCCCACTTAGATCGAAAATACCCTGGGCTAGGGTTCTCTGGTAGGATTCTTGAAGGTTCTGGCAGGCCCAGGCGGGTGTTAGAGGATTCAATACAGGGCTTCGGGCTTAAGTTTTTAAGGCTATAGGGTTATAGGGTTTATGGCTTTCGGGCAAGCCAGGATCCACGCGGTTTCGGCTTTAGGCTTTGGGTTTCAGTGTTCAGAGTTTGGGAATTGGAACCCTTCGCTGTGCTGTCCTTGGCAACGTTCACGGAGCCATCAGGGAGCTTAGTGTCCTCCGAACGACAGAGCGACCAGCACTGCGACAAAACAACCACCGAAGCTATCCGCTATGCCACTCTCCTCGACCCGATCTCACCCATCACCTTGAACTTCTACGGCGTAGGATCAAACAGGATGTTTTGGAAATCCAACTACCCCCTTGTAGAATCCAGTACACGTGTTCCGTACCTTTGCCACTCCACACTCCCAGCAGCGATTCCACGCACTCTTGATTCCGGCCTTCCACGACCAAGCACAAGTTTCCACTGTTTTGCTCTTTCTCCGCCCCAAAGCCTGAACCTAGACCCTGAATCCTAAACCCGCATTAGAACCCAAGAACACTTCAAAAACTCCAACCTCAACTACCCTAAATCCTAAACCCTAGAAGAAACCCTGAAACCCCTCCTCTGGTGGCTCGTAGTTTCCGAAGCCCACGATGCGCTGTGACAGCAGCCTGTACCTAGGTTGCTTGGAAGGGCCAACTTCAAGGTAGGGTTTGGCTTTAGGGACGTTACGCTCTCACAACTCGGACCAGCCAGGCGAGGTAGGGTTTACGCTTTCAGGGCTTTCTAAATTAGGGTTCCTTTTTAGGTCCCCAATATAGTTCGGCACCCTTATAAAAAGGACCGCCCAAGAAAACCTTAATTTGGAGAACTACCCATATGGGCCTGAACGATTAGCCCAAGGTTTCGGGGCAAGGAACTCTAAGGCACGGTACGGTCTTACTACGCAATGAAGCTTTAAGCTTCTATGCTATGCTTTGGGCGCCATTTTAAGCATTCGGGGTTAAGGATGTTGGGATTCGTTTCTTAGGCTTGGATTTTGGGGGTATATGGTGCAACTTTTAAGGCTCAGGGGGTTTAAGGGGCTGAGATATGACCCAAATGCAAGTCTCTCACTCATGGCGGTGTGTGGGCGTTGAAAGCGGATACACCTAGGCTACAACTACCAAACCCTCACAGAATCACCGTGACAACCCCAAGAGAGCCGACCTGCAAAAGACAAAAAAACACATCGGTTTTGGGTTGGAACCAGCTTTTATTTTTTGGAGTTTTGGAATGAACTGCAATGTACATGTAAAGGGTAGCTGTCAAAGACTCCAAACCCTGAAAGGTAGTCCGTACTTCTGGTCACTAACCAATTAGAAAGCGTTCCAAGAAGCTCCAAGGAAGAGCATTATTATTACAGAAAGGACTCTTGTGAGGT